CCCAGGGGCACCAAGCCATTCGTGTCCATATCCACCACCAGGTCACGGAATTACTCCAGGTCAAGTACCTCCGGTGTCTGTCAGTCTTCCCGTTTCAACAGGTCCGCCTGTAAGCCACGTAACCAGTCATCCTATAATGACTTCGTGCGTCCCCACGCAATCTCACGTACAACCTCATCCAGGTTTGCCTCCGGGTATGCCGCCACATATACAGGGCCATCCTAATATGCCCCCAGGCCCTCATCCTGGGCTGCCGTCTCCCTATCACCAGGGCCATCCCAGCATGCAGCCTAACTATGCCCCTCACCCTGGCATGGCTCCGCACCCCCAATACGGTCATCATCCGGGGGGACCTCCGATGATGCATCAAGGTTATCCCGGAAGTTACCCTATGCCCAGCGGCCACCCTGGCATGGGGCCCCATCCAGGCATGTTGCACGCGCATCCTGGGATTCAACAGCACCCTGGCATGCCGCCCCCACATCCAGGCCAACCGCAGGGGCCCGGTCAACAGCCGGGTGGTCCTCAAGGAACTCAGCAACCCGGCCAACAGCCAGGCTCCGGACCGCAAAGTGAAAATTCCTCAGCGCAGCCTACAGCAGGACAGAGCGACCAAACCAGCGAAAAAATGGAACATTAGGTGGTTTTGTTTGTAATATCGTGTCAGCAATTGAAAACATGAATTGGTTCTCGTTAACTGAAGGCACCCGGTCGTCTGGGTCACTCAAGTAAGGATATCCGCCCAACTGGGCCCTTATGCTGAACGTCCGCAAACATCATAACGGAGTTTGAATGAACGTGAGCGTATCATGATAGACAACGGTGACTCTGCGACCTGTATTAGACTAGATACAAATTGTTATAACAATAGCTAATAAGCAAAAACAATTGTTGTGTAATAGCGAAAACCATAAGCTGTCACTAACTATACGTCGATGTGTGTGCACTTGGCTGTATGGATGAACGGTCGCACATTAAGATTTTGTATAATAGGTAGAATTGAACGCGGTAAAGAGAGGCAAAACGAAAGATATCTGACGCTAATAACATGTACAACATTTCATTCCTTTATTCATGCATTAGGCACAAAAAAGGCTCTGTTAAAGAAAACATGCAGACCGAGGGGATACACCAGACGGGAATAGTGCATACAGGCTCCTAATACATTTCTGCACACACACACACACACACGTATATATATAATTACATATATACATTTTCAATACACAAATAACACATACAAGTGGAACAGAATCGTACAAGATATTGGGGGTTTAAAATATTTTTTAATTTGTACTTACAATAATTTTAGAATTGGCACTTCAGCGTCAATCGTGTGCATCCTGTTACAATATCATACTATTGTCAAACTCGAAAAGTATTGGATATACACACAAGTTTGAACGCTTCTGCCAAAAATAGATTCCGTCATAGAACATAGAAGTATAACTAATTATAATAAAAAGTATATTATTGTCACATTAAGGCGCGTATTTTAATTTACAGTAAATTGCACACTACATAAATGTTTTGCACTTGGCATTTAATATTCTACCCTCTCTTCGGTGCATTTACTTTACAAACTTTCACCTCACTCAGTACCTACTTACTTCATGCTCTTTGCTTATGGGTCTCTTCGTTCCTACCTTTTCAGATTCCGCCCTGTAACCGCTCTGCTACATGTCTCAGCCTTCTTTCTGATGGCCCTGTATACTTAGTGCTACACTACAGCATTGCCTAGCTGGCTGTTACAAGTAAATCAACTTCCCTGCTTATTATGACCATTTTTCATCCTCATAACCTGTTTGCTTTCGCAGTCGTTTATAGTTCCACGTATATTTTTCCCTATATTTTTTCTCAATCTTTTTTTAGTCTCTCGTCTGATTCCAACATTGCACATAGGATTAAATTTTTTTTCGTCACCTCATTTACTGAAGCCTTAGGACGAAGGCAAGCATTTATACATACGCACACTAACGCAAATACACTCACGCTATCACCACCGCGTATGAGAATAATATATATATGTATGGCGTTTGCTGTAGATATTTTTGCGTTTACATGCAGAGAAATAAGTTTCCTGTTCATTGCCTCCTTCCCTTTCGTTTTCGCATACACGGCATATATTTACTTCTCGAAAAGCAGCTTACGCACACCGCTTAGCATAACTAATGAAACATATCGAAAAACGTGATATTATTCAAAAAATCTGAAAATTTTTCATTAAACAACATAAGGTACCTTTCACTAGCTGTGATCAAAAATCTCCGGTTTAATGGACACGATAAGATGAACACCAAATACGACATTTTCCATTTTTAATCAGCCGTTTATACACTCCCCTCGCAAACATTTCGTTGTTACCTTCTTGTTTCCGTGTAACGTGACATTTCCATGTGTATCTTTTTTTGTAGGCACGTTTTACATTGTACCCATGGGTTATAATTATGCTGGAGCTCTTAGCCTAGATGAGTGATCAATCGTTATTCTTCTATCTCAACTGTTCGCTGCCATCATGTTCATCAATTATTTTATCTATCTCACCGCGTTTATAGCAACAATGTTATTCATAATTATTATATATTATCAGTGTAATTATATTCAACAACAACTACAAATAGGTGTTGATAAAACATTTTCAATCGCACATTCCGCGGCGCCACCGTCAGTGGAAGTGGCGACACGTTGGTCGACAGAGAGCGCTCGAACTTGGACCGATATTCAAACCGTCGTTCCATGTCGTCTAGATGTATAATTACATACGACAGCTCTTCTAAACGACGTAGATAATGCTACGCTGTCGCAGCTCTTGTTCTTGTAGGCCTATAAGAACTGTATGACTTACTTAGCCATTTTGTTTGCAAAATGTGTCTATTTCGTAGTAATCGGCTTTACGTTGTGTAGCACAGATTTTTTTAAATGAACTCATTCCTCTGGTGATCAGAGAGTGATAAAAACAACTAATCAGAAAACGAAATTACTTGTAAAATAATTGCGCTTTCGAACCGTGAAGCTCTAATGACTAAAATTCGAAATTTTATGAAGTTTTTAATAACAAATTTAACATAGAGTGGTCTACTCCCCACTGTTTAAGCTACCTAATCGTCAAATCGTGCTAAATAAATACTTAAATAGAAATGCGTGGGCTAGCACGATTACAAACGAGCGAAATGAATAACTCAAATATTATACTTAATAACTAATACACAATCATCGCTCTAGAAATCGGATGTGTACATTCATTTTGTATTTATACAATCTATTATTTATCAATTTTCATTGACTTATCGTTGTGGCTGCTCAATGAATGCTATCTTCTTCTGCGTGGCAATTGGCTGCTCAATGAATGCTATCTTCCGCGTGGCAATCGATCGATAATTTCTGTATCTCTGACTCCGTCTATCGCCCTTCTTTAGTAGATTAAAATTTTCATGTACATTTTCTCCACTTAATGAATTTTCCACTTACTCGATATCAGTCTGTCGTCTTTGCGATGCATAGAGAAGGCCTAAGCTGAAACAATGTCTTAAATGTGTCATAGCCATCACACCCGTATAGTCTCTTATATGCTGTGCTCGTTGTAGGCTTTCGGAGCATCGTCAGCGCATCCGTTGGCGCAAATAAACCTGTTTGATAAATAGACACATTTTTTTGTGATCTTCACTCAACGTTGCCGACAATTGTTGTTGCCTTCAATAAGCTGTCGTTCGTCTACGAAATGCTGCGGATGGTTCTGATGAGAATGATGACTTGGCTCTACGTGCTGATTCTGTTGTTGCCCATCGCCACCGTTACGACAGCTTGGCTCTGTGGTAACGAAGAAAGTTTCAACAAACATACGACACATCGGGCAGCGATCCTCGATGTGCCCGAAACATTCATGGCAGACGCACGCATGTCGGCACGGCAGGAGTGTATGTGTTGCTGGCTGATCCATGCAGATGACACAACGAGGCTCATCGAACAGGGTGCGTACGGCTAGCAGACGCCCACCGTCCGACTTGAGATACTGCTGAAGAACGCTTGTCTTAAGACTACATCCGTATAGATGGTAGATTGAATAGAGAGCCGTGTCGGCATCCGGTGCAGTTATAACGGTAACGAGATGGTAACGTGTCCGGGGCTGGTCACCGAGTTCGCAGTCTTTCACTTCTAGCCGGAGGCGGCGACGCCCGATCTCCGGGATAGTGTGGGACTCGTCGTATTCGTGTGGCAGTTGCTCGTTCCAAGGAAAGTCCTAAGTGAACGAAATAGATATCATCGAAGCAGGAGAATAAACTACACTACGGTATTTTTGCTCAGCGGGTACCATTAAGTTCCTGCAGGCAAATATTGAGATCCATTCCTGATAGAATTTTGATTGAATCTTTCTGCCAGGCTTAAAAACAAAGTAACTTATAATTTCATATTTGACGTTGTCTGTTAAATATTAATCAACCAAACCTATAGCCTACCTTAATGCTCACACCCCAATAAGCTTTAAGTTCACAGTTGATTACGTGTGTACGAATGTCAATATCGACACAATGATTTCCAAGATCGCGTATCTCGAAGACGGTTGCTGGGGTATGAATTCTCTGGATGTGGAGTTGTTGCCGCGGTCGCTTTACGTAGACAACTGAAGTCGCTCGGTCGGGGGTTCGCAGTGCCCCCAACAGGACCCGGCACAGTAGGAACGCCACGTGGAGAGCCAGACACGCGCCTACCGCGTACAGAACCTCCATCTGGCCCCAGAACAACATTCTGTAACGGTCGACACAACATTAGACATGGAGCGTGGACATGCACTGATGATAAAAATTATAATACTATTAGTAGTAGTAGTAGTAGATGTATTACAGAATTGACTACATAATTTCAAACGACGAAATTCTTTTCCTGTGTATGTAAATAGTTCCTGGTCAACAAAGAAGCCCTATTTAGGTTCCTACGCCACAATGTATTAGCGCCACTCATATCGCAGCCTACATTTTCAGTGAGCAACAGCTCACCAAAAGTTGCCTGTTTATGGATTTGAATTAAAACTGTGTTGGACAGTCAACACAGTCTCAGATAACAGCACTGGTAATTGTCATTCAACGCGTATCAGTATTATTTTATCAATATCACGTACGAAACGTAATGGCCTTTAAATCATGGGCGCCCTGCCTGTAGATTGCTCCCGTTCGATGGCAATCAAGAAAAAACCAACGCTGTTGCATACCTAACAATGTTGCGTTCATATAGTTATTTAGTATGCAAAATAAATGCCCTTTATGGCATTTATTTTGTTACATACTTCATAGCAATTACGTAGGAACAGCATAAACGTACAAGTAACTAGACATCGAACGTGACACCACGCAAAGATCGGACGCTATCATGTGCATGTCATCAAGTTATTCCAAATATCAAGTATCACTTCTTGATCGGACATTCTAGCATTAAGATGTGTTTAGAAAAGGAAGAAAGGTTTAGGGAGCACAGATATGCATATGCTATGTAGAGAAAGTAAAATGTTAGAAAACATTAGGTTTTACACAAAAAAAAAGGATTTTTCACACTTTCACTTTTCGTCCATATATGCTAAAGGCACAACTTGTTGCATTTGAAACCGATACTTACAGGTATACACGAAGGTTTCAATAACGACAATAAATACTACACGAAAGTATATATATAGTCGGTGCTCAGTCAACCTTAAGGCCAACTGCGCAGCGTTAGCGCAAGGTACTTTCACAGGGTTTTAGGCCTATGAAAGCGGCGTTATGCTGATACCCTACATATCGATCTTTATCGCTTAACCGCTAATAAACGACGTGTTATGTGAAACTTACAGTTGTATTTCAGTAACTACAAACATGACAGTTTGCTGTAGCCAGATTTCAGCGAACCCAGTCTTCACTATCGTATTAGCGAGCTCTATCTCACCGCCTAAAATGATTGTTATTGATTCAGAATAACTGGATGATGGCGGTTCAATGGGCTAGACTAGTTTGAATGTCTTTTGGTAATTTCGCGTTTTTCTGTGCGAACAGTATCGAAATGGGGAAAATCAACAGATGTCACTGAGGAATAGAAATCACTGATTAATAGATGGCTTCGTCGAAACAATTGTACAATATACGAAACGGTTAAAATATTTCATGTTTCGTTGCATGCAATCTCCAACGTTGCGAGAGAGCTGGGGAAACACCTTCCGCTGTCATCCTGTAAAGTCGATACCAAGAATCGTAAAACATGCTCTGCTAAGGATCGTGTGAATGCTTAGGAACTTCAAAAAGATAAATTTACGTAGTATAATGTTTTTCGAAGTAAAAGAAAAATACCGTGAACTTCCCGCTTCTGCGACGATATAAAGGCTGTGGACTTGCCAAGAAACATGAGTTGAATGCACAAATAAATCGAGCACTGGACAAACCCGGTTAAAAATTGGATTGTTTAAACTATTCTCGTTTTAAAATTATTGAAAAAAAATGCCCATTATATTATCAGACGTCTTAGCGAACGATTTTGAAAAGAAAGAAGTGCATCATGCCGAAAATCATACATCCGTCTTCGCAAAATGAATACCAGAGCAGTAGGATAGTTCTTAGTTTTAGATACAAGAATGATTTTTTGACGGTGAGTACATCATCATGCACGATGGACTGTCTTGTCACAGAGTTTGGAGTACCTTTGGACTATAGCTGCCAATGACGTTCTGGTGCTGCCATGGCCTGCTCATTTGGCAAACCTCAACCCCATAGTTCCCAAATCTCCGTGAAAAAATCACTAATACGAGGCAACAGGATCCGCTCATAACTGGAACAGCAACGAAAGTGCATCAAAAGCACGCCCAAACAGTAGCCGCTGTTATCGTCGCAAGAAGCGATGCCACAAAATAGTGATGAATATATTGTCAGCACTCTAAAACGGCTGCCAATGTCTTTATCGACATGTAGAATGCCGCTGTATGATGAAATAATGCCGCTCGCACAGGTCAAAAAGCGTTTGAAAATATCTCGCTTTACTGCTGCACAATTGGCCTTGCAAGCTGAAACTATATCGAAGTTTTATTCAGCACACAATGTGTATATGCATTTGGAATATATATTTATTATAGTTAGTAATAAAAAATGCTACAAAAAGTAAGTTTTCACTCAGTCGAATTAAATTGGTATCATAAAAGTTACTTCAATTACTTAACCTCATTAATATCATGTCGATGCATTTGTGATTGAGGTGAGTTAGGTTTGCCTAAATAAAGCTATAATCCTGATTTCGAACATATACAACATTAGAAAGATTGTTCTTCGGCGAGCACAAGACCTGAAGACTCGATCTGCATTTGTGTTGCATTCGTAAAGGCTATAACTCTATAATATATAACAACCGTTGGGAAAACCGCAACGCGATAACTGTACTGGCAACGGCAACTGTAAAAAGTTTGTAACAACAATGTAAAGATTGCTTATAGCAATATAGTAACTCAAGCCGCATTACTTCGTATTGTCACTGACTATTACTATTATTAACAGTTTTGTCGTTAGATGCTGACGTTTCTTCCATGCATGATAAGCATGTGCTGGCTTGCGTGCTGTACGCGCATACTGCAACCGCATACAGGACACACGGTTACTTTGCGAGAGCTATCATTACGATTAGGTTCGTCAAAGGCCCAGGGAAAACAGCAATTTGTGCCCGAAACATTTCGAACTACTGACAATTTCACAGAACTGTGCGCCGAACCGATATTCGTCGGCGGCATCAATGGATGCCGCATCGTGATGTGCGACGTGTTGCATTGCTGTTTCACATCAGATGATATCTGTTTATCCTTATGAAAATGTTCAACAGGTGGTGCTATTGCATTCCCGAAGGACACAATGGGTAATGGCTCAGTCTGATGCTCACACAAGGAAGGCGCCTGAAACACTGCTGTCGATATGTTGCGATGGCACCATAATCGCCTATGGGAATGAAGATCATCAACAATGTCCCCACATTCTCCACACTGAAACACAGGTGCGATGCTTAACATGTCGTGGTTTTTGAACGACTTACGCGAACTTTTTAAGGAAACAGAGGACGCCGTCAGCACGCATTTCGATTTACCCTCTCTATACTCGGTTTTTACGTTGCATTTTACGTGCTGCTTCAGTTGATTTGTGCTGTCAACTGGGGCAAGACGTTTGTCACTTGTTGAACCGTTTCGCATAGGCATCGTAAAACTGCGCTTATTTAATCCTAATACTCCGTTTGCCAAGGTGATATTTGCAAAAGGACGACGTTTTACTTTCCCAAGATAGTTAGTTCTTAAGGTAACAGCATCAATAGTGGTGCCATTGATATTTTTAGTTCTAAGCGCATTGCCGCGCGTAGTAGGGTCAATGTTTTCAGATGAGCTCGTTTTGACCTGGGGCATCTTCATCGGCTCCGAAATAAAACCCGTCGAAGCAGGCCTCGTATATATCGGTGTACGTGGGCGACCCACTCTTCACAAACCGTAAATAGTGCTCGACCCAACCAAACAAGCGAGAGATGGCTACGCTAGTCGAAGTACAGCCGGGCCGAAGTATATCAGCGTACCGCGGCACAATGTATGGCAGCACTGTTGTGGCGCCACAAATCGTTCAAATTACGGCAACGGAAATTGAACTGGAAAAACATGGTGACGATAACAATAACCACAACAGCACCAGAAATAACTGTGAACATACTAGTGATGTCGTAATAGTCAGATTTGTTTTTTTTATCACCAGGCATCTGATTTTTCGGACAATGAATGCTCTAGTGGCTGCCACCGGATACTCAAAAAGCGTCCATTCAGCAACGGCTGTTCGAAATTGATGTAGGAGTCCTAAGTCCTTCCTAGCATAGAATGCCACGGGGTGTCCCTTAATGTATCTGTGAGCGAACTTCGACGGTTTTACAAAAGTACCACTAACGCTTAAGCAAAGCCTAAGTGCTCAGTTATATATATATATACTAATATATA